AGCGCGGTGGGGAGCTGGTCGTACTCGCAGCAGAGGCGGCAGAGGGTGTGCTCCGGGGAGGGCCCTCCCAAGACCGACCTCATGGCCTTCAGCCCTAGTGTTCCCCCTTGTTCAAGTTCTGGAGATAGTGGAGAACAACAGGAGATTTTTGGGAATGATGTAAGTACAGTAATTCTGAATGTATTTAATGCCTGTGGATGTCAATCGCATAGTATGTTCAGCGACATTAGTGTAAGTTTATTGTTTCATTTATTTGTTTTTGTTTTGTTTTCTTGCGATGGTTTATTTTAAAACATACTGGAAGTCTAGCCGTTTTTATTACTTTTTACTGAAGTCTTAATGCCAGGAACATTATTTAGTTGCTGGAAATAATAATAGTGGTAGTAATAGCAGTAATGAAACAGATGGCTAAAGCTGTCTGTAAATGAAGAAGGATAAGTCATCCAGGCAAGGATCACTGATGGGAAATGGAGGATGTATGCAAAGCTTAAATATTCTAGTTCTCAATTTTGCAGCAAGCTCATTTTTTCTATTCATTTCCTTATTCTAATTGGTGTCCTCCCCTCATTGCGTTCATGTATTAAAAATTACCATAATAATGCCTAATTTCATAATTTAGTTATTTTGAGTTTAAAATGTGTTTGAATTCTTACCTTCCTATAAACTCTAAATTTATTTATTACTAATGGGCATGGGTTGTTGAGGTGGCTTCTTTTTATAAATAATTTTGTTTCTTTATAATCAATGGCATACTTCTTTCAGATACTGGGTGAGGTTTCAACCTTACCTTTGGGGAGGACTTTACTTTTTTGTCTTTAATCCTCTCATGATTTCCTGCTTATTTTCTTCATAGTCTTCAGCTGCTTCAGATACACTACATTTTTTCTTTACTTCCTAGTGTAGTTTCAGTTTTTGCTAATTGCCTGCTGAATCTATTGCTGCTCTCCTCCAGATGAATTCATTGATTTCCTTTTTTATTTGGAAGATTTGATATTTGATCATATTTATGTTTCTTCCATTCATGGCACCCATTGTGAGACTGTATGGAAATATTTTAGGGTAGGGTAGGAAAATTCACACTTCCTTGTGTTTTGAGTTTAAGAGAGAGTCTTCCTGTATATGCGGAAACGTGGTACTGCTGCCTGTGTCCACCAAGCCACTAGGTCTTTGAAATGACATTGATTTAAATAGCTTAAGCATAACAACCATGAAATATCTGTAAAGTCACTTCCATTTGACAATGGTGTTGTTGATCATATTTCACAATTTGATATTGTATACTTTAGATACATTTGATGCAAAATCATGTGAATTGTTTTCTTAAGGAGATAACAGAGAACTTGTCTTTAGAGCTATAAGCAACTAAATCAATTGATGTGAAAGTTTATTTATTTATTTACTTTTTTGCTCCAGTGTACAAGTTAGAAACCCTTTAACTGTATTGTGTGGAGAAATAAATTATAAATGATATATTTACATGTGGAGGAGAACCATGTTATGGATAGGGTAAAGTTAATAGAAATGCTGAGGAGGCATTAGTCGCCATTTTCTACCCACAAAAAAAGGATGATTTCCATGAAGATGAACATTAGGAAATCTTCTGAAAAGGAAAAACCAGGCCCTAATTTATTATACTGAAAATCTCTTCATCCATAGCTACAAAGTAGAACAACAAGAAACAGTCACTAATTACAAATAAACCACTACTATATGAACTCTTTCTGTTTATTAGAACATTGTGTGAGGGCGCCTGGGTGGCTCAGTTGGTTAAGCGACTGCCTTCGGCTCAGGTCATGATCCTGGAGCCCCGGGATCGAGTCCCGCATTGGGCTCCCTGCTCAGCGGGGAGTCTGCTTCTCCCTCTGACCCTCTTCCCTCTCGTGCTATCTCTCATTCTCTCTCTCTCAAATAAATAAATAAAATCTTTAAAAAAAAGAACATTGTGTGAAGGACTTAAAATATGTAATTTAATTTAATCCTTATAACAACTTATAAAACACATGTGACTATCCAAATTTTAATGATGAACTAAGAGATGGTAAGATATTTTTCTAGCTTGTCTACTGCCATCCAGCTAGTACATGGTAAAAATGATACTCAAATGTATATCTTTTAGATTCTAAAGCCATTCTTTTATTCACTGTGGAGTTTTCTACAGTAAATTTTTTCTCTAATCAGGCATAGTTATGGCTAGGAAAATCAAGCCCAAAGTATATAGAGGTGAATCCTTCTTTCTGTTTTGCTTAAGAAAAAAACCATAATTATCTTCATAGTTAATTTTGTGCAATGCCATAATTGAGATTTTTTTATGTTAAGTGATTTTTTTTCTCAGAAGAGTTCATGAGCATCATTATCATTTGTTGCAATGCCACATTGAGATAGGTCTTTACATCATTCAGTGTAATGTAGGTAATGTAGGTAATGAAGAGTTGCCATTGTAGGGACTAGGTATCCATTGTTTGGAAGTAATCTAAGTTAAGAAAAATCATTTTAATATATGGGAAAACCCAGAAGACTGTGGTCTGCAATGTTCTAGCAGAACACCAAAGCCAAATGACAGATATGAAAATGACCCTGTCCTTTTTATGTTGTGAATAAGGATAATGTTTTGGACAAATATAAGTGGTAATATGATTATTTCCAGGATCCTGGATATCAGCAAAGGATTCAATAAGTGTTTCCAAAATTGCATACTTCAATAACAGCTTAAAAGGTGTATATTTCCCATGAAAATCTTTTTTAAAAAAGATTTTATTTATTTATTTGTCAGAGAGACAGACAGAGAGCACGCACAAGCAGGGGGAGTGACAGGCAGAGGGAGAAGCAGGCTCCCTGCTGAGCAAGGAGCCTGATGTGGGACTTGATCCCAGGACCCTGGGATCATGACCTAAGCCGAAGGCAGATGCTTAACCGACTGAACCACCCAGGTGTCCCTCCCATGAAAATCTTTGAATGTGTGTTGGTATTTCAGAATTCAGTCTTTTTGTGTCTGTGAGATTTGTGCTGACTGAACAAATGATCTGTGATGAAATAACTGTGTATACTTCAATAAGCCATGATAGCAAAGAGTGAACATCAATGAGTATATCCTATAATTTTGTTAATACAATGTTGGATAGTATTTCTAATCTATTGATTTTGAAGAACCTCCTGGGTTTCCAAGAATGGTTTCAAGATTTGTTTCTCTGTTTTATGTTTTCAATAATAATATTACTAGACCTGTTATGCTGTATTAGGGGATGATGAGGACTAATAGAACATTAAACCAAGCACTCTAATATATGACCAGCAGGACATAGTAGAAACTTAAGACTAACCAGATTGGGATACCTGGGTGGCTGAGTCTGTTGAGCGTCTAACTCTTGGTTTCATCTGGGGTTGTGATCCCATGGTCATGGAATCCAGCCCCTCATGGGGCCTCTCATGGAGCCTCTGGTGGAACCCCACCTTGGGCTTCATGCTCAGCCCAGAATCTCTGCTTGAGATTCTCTGCCTCTGTCCTTCCCTCTGTGTGCTCTCTCTCTCTCAAATAAATAAATAAATCTTAAAGAAAGACTAACCAGATTGGTTTAGTAAAGGTCAGGCGCAAAGTTCTTCAGTTTTCAATCAATTTTACAAAATCAATGTTAATAACAATATTGATGTGAACTTCTTGGCATTAGCTTATTTCCAGATCTCAAGCTTATCCCCCCAAATGAGTTCAAAGATAGCATAATCTCTTTTATATGGATTAGTTGAGATGGTGATATCTAAAATATCATAGCTAAAATGCAAAAATGGGTCATTGGTTTATACAATATATCAAACTCTTTTGTGACTTGGTGTTCATCCAGTGTCTTTTCATATACTCAAAAAATACCATATTACTGGAAAGTAATTGCTAAATTAACATCTGTCTACCTTGGGTAAACTTTCTGATGTTCATCTCTCTATTTATGTTTGAGGATTGCATATTGCATGTACCATCTCAATCCCCAATGTCTATAATGAAGTGGTTGAGATCTCTTGCTTCCTTTTTCTCTAAAATAAATCTAACAGGCTTCAGATAGTAGGTTAAGTCTGCTGTTAATATAGTCTAATGTTATATTTTGATTAGAGGCCCTTATAACTGATTGTTTCACAGATGCATAAGATAATTCCATGTTATAAAAAGTGACAAGTCTGCTTGCTTTATTAGTTTTTTAAGAAAGAATTTTGCATTTACTAAGAGTCCTAGCAGGATGATAATATGGGGAAGAGTAAATTTGAAAAAAATGAAACAAGTCTGAAATTAGCAATAGTATGTGTGTATTCTAGATAAAGAAAAATACTAACATACAAATAAGTATACTAGTAATTTTTTCATGTGCCATTTCAATATTTTTAAATTGGAGATGGATCATCAATCATACAACAAAATACTCAAGCTAGAGTGATATTTATTCTAAATCATTTTCTACTTTAAACTTCCATTAGATCCTCTTTTCACACCCTTAAATCCAAGGCTATATGAAAAGACAAAGACATATAACCAAGTTACATCTTCAGGCAATGATAACTCATATCAACAATTCCTATTTTCTCCTTGGTATTTTATGAAATTGAATTTACACAAACATTAAAGTCATTTGCCATTTGGTTGAATTATTATGTGTGTGTGTGTGTGTGTTTAGCACAGTAGTATGCATTTAGAGGAGGTATAATTAGAAATCCTTTCCCTTGTTTTGGATGAACTTATGATCTCAAACCCAGAATTCTTTCAACAAGAAACAGGTCATTTAACCATTTATTGAGTGCCCACTGTGTGCTGGGAGCTCTGCTATGTGCTAGCCTACCTCATGTCACACCTAGAATGCTATAACAGCTCCCTGCTGGTCTCCTGGCTTCTGGTCTTCTCCCCTTCAATCCACTTTGCATACCTGGCCAGTCTCAGCTCTCTTAAGTCTTACCTTACTCTTTTAGTCCAGCATATCCAGTGGCTCCCCAGTGCCCCCAAGATCAAGTCCAGTTCTTTAATGTGATGCTTAAGGCTTCCATGCTCAAGCTATGCCCTCTCTAATGAAATTTCCTATCAATGGTATTGTCTCTTTGTCTGGTCCTCTCCTGTGCCTGGTATTCAGAGATGCTTAATAAGCATTTGTTAAGTGAATGAAGGAAAAAAAAATAAGTCAGCTATTTTCATGAATATATCTTGACAGATACACAAAAGCCAATGTTAGTGACTTAGAAATACCAATATGGCATACGCATTTTCATGGTGACTTTTATTTATTTCATTGAATTATAATAAAATTTATTTTATAATTGAAAGACACCTTCTTCCATATCACTGACACCATCACATAAAGTGTCATTTTGATACCTCATATTATACTGTTAGCAATGTAACTTCCCTGATAAATCATGTGTGTCAGCTATAAATTTCATCTACATCCATAGACTTTTCCATTGTGAATTCTGTTTTAAACACTAAATTTGAAAACATATTTCTGTTTTCCAATGGATATAAGATTGCTTGTAACAAAAATGCAACAGTTGGTTAGGCGACTGCCTTCGGCTCAGGTCATGATCCTGGAGTCCCGGGATCGAGTTCCGCATCGGGCTCCCTGTTCAGCAGGGAGTGAGTCTGCTTCTCCCTCTGACCCTTCCCCCTCTCATGTTCTCTCTCTCTATCTCATTCTCTCTCTCAAATAAATAAATAAATAAATCTTTTAAAAAAAGTACGTCCTAATAACACTTATAAATCACTTTGAAAAATGCAATTAAATGTAAATAACAAAAAAGAATTGGAACTAAAGAAAATAGATATGAATAGAAGGCAAGTACATAGAGATAAGAACACAACATACAGAACTTAAAGACTAAAGAGTTATTAAAACCTCAAGTTTGTCTTTGAGTTTCCTAGCATCCAAAGTAACCAAAGAGATTAGAAATGAAACAATTCAGGGTGCCTGGGTAGCTCAGTCGGTTAAGCATCTGCCTTTGGCTCAGGTCATGATCCCAGGGTCCTGGGATCTAGTCCCACACTGGGCTACCTGCTCTGTGGGGAACCTGCTTCTCCCTCTCTTTCCTGCTTGTGCTCTCTCTCTAGGTCTGTCTCTCTCTCAAATAAATAAATAAAATCTTAAAAAAAATAAAGGTGACTTGATACGTACTAGGCTCTCAATTAAAAAAAAAAGAAATAAAACAATTCAAATTTGATAACATTTTAATATGAGAAGCAATATCTTTAGGAAATGTTTAACCCTAGTTTTTCATAAGGCTACCTGTAGAACTAAACTCTGTGTGTATTATGTAGATAAAGAACAATTGTATAACTCTAAATCAAATATAGGAACAAAAATTTCAATTTTATATTAAGAATAAAATGTCATTTTCCACATACCATTGCTTTCAATATGACTTATGCTACAAATGTTTCCTCAATAAGCACTTTGGAAATATTATTTTGAGGATAAAATAAAAGGACACTTGAAGTTAATTATATTTTTCTCTTTAAAATTCTGTAGCGTACGATGTAGTGTACAGTACTCACTATTCAGGCGCAAGGTGTCGCTCTTTACTTGGTGGAAATAGTTGTTTCAAGGGTTGGTCTGAACAGCCAGGAACGCCCCATACAAAAACGACTCCATCATGCCGAACGTTACTGTTAAATGATTCTTTGAAACTTCTCAAAAATTCAGCTAGATTTTTAACCCCAAACTGGAGTCTCTGGTACTGTAAGTGCAAAGAACTTTATTTTGGAAGTCAGTGTCGTATGCGATGTTCGGCTCTCAAAGAAGGGGATTGGGCACTCGGCGTCTGCTGCTGTCGCTTCTCCTCCTCACAGTCTGGGAGGCCGGGAGTGGTCAGGTCCACTACTCGGTCCCGGAGGAGGCCAAACACGGCACCTTCGTGGGCCGCATCGCGCAAGACCTAGGGCTGGAGCTGGCGGAGCTGGTGCCGCGCCTTTTCCGGGTGGCGTCCAAAGGCCGCGGGGACCTTCTGGAGGTAAATCTGCAGAATGGCATTTTGTTTGTGAATTCTCGGATCGACCGGGAGGAGCTGTGCGGGCAGAGCGCAGAGTGCGGCATCCACCTGGAGGTGATCGTGGACAGGCCGCTGCAGGTTTTCCATGTGGAAGTGCAAGTAAAGGATATTAATGACAATCCACCTGTGTTCTCTCTCAGAGAACAAAAGCTGCTGATTTCTGAATCTAAGCAACCCGACTCTCATTTTCCTCTAGAGGGAGCTTCTGATGCGGATATAGGAGAGAATGCTCTATTGACCTACAGACTAAGTCAAAATGAGTATTTTTCTTTAGAATTACCAACACATAGTAAGCAGACTAAAAGACTGTCGCTTACATTAAAAAAATATCTGGATCGAGAGAAAACTCCAGAACTTAATTTGCTACTGACCGCTGCAGACGGGGGAAAACCAGAGCTCACTGGCACCCTTCAGCTTTTCGTCCAAGTCTTGGATATTAACGACAATGATCCGGAATTTGAGCAAAAGGAATACAAGGTGAGACTGATGGAAAATGCAGCTAAAGAAACTTTTGTGATAAAGCTAAACGCCACAGATCGAGATGAAGGAGTCAATGGGGAGGTAACCTATTCCTTGATGTCAATTAAGCCCAATGGAAAGCTCTTATTTACACTAGATGAAAATAACGGAGAAGTGAGGGTCAATGGAACTTTAGATTATGAGGAAAACAAGTTTTATGAAATTGAAGTACAGGCCACAGATAAAGGGAATCCCCCAATGGCCGGTCACTGTACAGTCTGGGTAGATATATTAGACGCCAATGATAATGCCCCTGAAGTCACCGTGACTTCTCTGTCTCTACCAGTACGAGAGGACACTCAGCCTAGCACTGTCATTGCGCTGATCAGCGTGTCCGACCGTGACTCTGGCGCCAACGGGCAGGTGACCTGCTCACTAACACCCCATGTCCCCTTCAAGCTGGTGTCCACCTTCAA